CAGCGGAATCTCGCCAGCAATCACCAGGATGAGGAACAACACCGCTACCCACGCAGTGTGTGTGTGTGTGTGTCTCTGTGGGGGAGGGGGGATGGGGAACCGATAATGGAGTGAGGATGGAGTGGGTACACATTAATTTTGAGAGTAAATTACATTAATACCCTTGATGCGTTTAAAATATTTGGATTTTTTTCAACCACATGATTCTGATCTGATCTTGTCATGATGTATTCTTATTTCTTTCATTCAGAATCATTCTCACTTGAGTGCAACCATATATATATATATAAATACGAATATTTGTTCTCCTTTCTCTACATGCGGTTTAGGTAGCAGACTCATCATCTACACGGTCTACGAATACAAGCAGTCAAAACAGCAGAGAAAACATACATTTGAAAACACCGTCAATGTGTTCCCATTTGAAAGCCAACTGCTGCTTGTTCTCAAATTCTTCTTCAAGTGAGAGCACACCAGCAAATTAAACAAGGAACTGAAAACATATGTCGAAAGTTCAATATTTTGGCAGACAATATTCAGAAAACAAATCACTTCATCAAAGCTTCAGTACTTGTCTTTGTAGCATAATTTTCTTACGAAAAATCCACCAGGGCACATTCTTCAGTATTTCAAGAAATACTGGATACTATCTAGAAATGAATTAGTCATATTTCAATATGTGCACAATTAAAAAAATAAAATAAATTACCTGCATGGCGATGGCAAAAAATTACTGCCAATTACGCCAATGCTATTTTTTATCCACTACCAATGTGGGATGTTAGAGACTCTGAATTATTATTAACTCTCTGTGCCATCAACTGACTCTCCAAGATCTCTACAACGTTATCCGGCGGGCATTTATCAGCTGGATTGGCGGCCGACATCTGACAAAAGCATTCCGGCCATGAGTTCGTATAGAACGACTCGGGCGAGACCCGCCTGTGGGGCTTACCGAAATTTGTCTTCTGCATCACGCGCCTGACAGCGTCTTCAAAGCCAGCCGTACGCCCCTTTTCGCGGTCGATAAAGACAGGCGCAAGGGCTTTTCTGTCTGGCCGTATGTTTGTGCGGAAACCATAGTAGAGTCGGTGGCCGAGAAGATTATTCGCGAAATTGCTGGGCCCATCATATGTGGGCATGAATATGTCGGCCAGCAGACAAACCATATAGTCGACTGCCGAACCCATGAGGCCATTGGTGTTCTTGGCAAGCTCGCCAGTCGAGTCTACAGTATTATGGTTTTCAAGGCGTGGGAACAGTGCCCGGAAGGGCTTCATAAATCGGTCGCCGCCAAATAGTTCGCCGGCAGCAAGGTATATTCTGGTAGAGTTGTCAAAACCCAGTGCTCTCAAGATAAGACCCACCTGCAGGTGATCCGAAAAATCATTTACCCTGTGCTGGTAACAATGGGGGTGATTGTTTATCAATTCAATTAAATAAACAATCAAAACTCAAATTTAACTCAACTTTAACCTAACTCCACTATCTCCAATATTATTAATATAATTAAATAATATCAACCAATCATTTGAACAAATCACATCAACTTTAATTCATTATTCATCTACTCACATAATTTTAACTAACCATTACTTCCAATCACTTTTCTCCTATTTTACATCATATCAACTTTAATTGTTTTATTTTAAATATTATTTTAATATATCTACTAATAACTAAACATACTACCTTTTTTTCAAAATTAACTATGGATAAAAAAACAATTAAAAACTAAATGAATTCATAACAATCACCCCCTTATGCATTCAATTGCAATAATTAAAACTAACAGATGAATGGTATCGAGAAAGCGATAAGTAATGGTATTAGTAGTCCATGTGTAGATCAGGCATAGATGCTCTATTTAAAAGAAAACCTCTAAAATTATCTTGAGCTTTTAGTGATGGGTAGATCATGTGTAGATCATACATGTATTCTAGTGATGGGTAGTTAATCCAACGCTTAAAAACATAACGGAACCATCCCGTAACGGGATGGTAGCATTCTCCACTATTATAATCATTATTAACTACTACGGCACTCCACGTCAAGAGACAATCTAAACAAAAAAGAATGATTCCTACTATAAACTATACTATTTGGCTGCAAAAGAGGGCAATGAAAGACAGGAATGTTTGTACGGTCAGGATAAGAAGCAAATGCACCACAAGTATTCTTAGCAAAGAAGTAGAATAGGGACACAAAATATGCACAAGTTTTCCATCTAAGATCTTCAAGGAAAAATTTCTTATGTCGGATGGTGTTTGCAAGGATAAAAGGCAAACTTTTTTTTCAGGTCTACGAGGCAAACTAAAAGGGTGTGTTGGTGGGCAAATAAATCCTCTAAAACACCTAATCGGATATATAATGACTATAAAAGCTTCAGAAATGAATCTAAAGAAAACTTATATCAGGATATATATTATTATAAAAGCTTCAGAAAAATGAATCTAAAGAATTCTTAAATCAGATTTTGATACTTGGGTATTCCTACGAGCAGGACCTCCAGACCCTAACAACCTCCTTTAGTTTTATACATAATAATAACAAGATTTTCGTTGATATACATCATATTAGTTCAAAATTATCATTTTGTTCAACAGTAGTTGACTATTAGACTGATCCAACCATTAGGCCCACATACTCTTTTCACAAATATGCATAATTTTATTATAAAATGTCAAAGTTAAAAAAGCAACATAAACAGAAGACATTGGATATGCATTTTTGTTTGCAAAGTATGACAGTTCGACTAGTCTAACAGTTAAAATGACACAAGAATTTGTGTTTGTAACAAGGTTAACCGGACCGGTTCGATGACCGGTCAAGCTAATGATTCACTAATCCGACCATTGAACCGATTGGACCGTTATGTAATTTATTAATATTTTTAAATATATAATATTTTATATAATAAAAGTTATATATAAGAACTTTGTTAATTAAATATTTAGACAATTTAAAACATTTGATACTTAACCTAATTAATAACTAACTTATATATATCCGTTATATTTAAATATGTATTTTTTATTTATATTTAAAATATTTTTAAATATATTAAAATTTATTTAAAAAAAAATACTGGACCGGTTAAAAAATCTTAATGCCAATGTCCAAGATGCTTTTGCTTACTTTGTACACAGTCACAAAAGCATCTTGGACATCGTCATTAAGATTATGTAAAGAACCCCTAAATACATCTTTAAAAGTTCTTTAATTATTCAAAAGCATTTATGACAAGGCAACAACATCGTATTTAAGAGAACTAGGCAGGAAGCAATAGCAACTCTACCAAAGATGTAGCATAAATTTCTTATTTCTTATTATGAAAGGATACGATAAGTACTTGAGTTTTCACAAGATAGAGCACTCCCTAATAAATGAGTGCACAAAAAATTGACGAGTTACCTCTTCAGGAGTTAGAGGGCATTTTCCAATTGCCCTTCTCTCATCATATACGAGTTTCTTTGGTGCAAAATTTTCTTCGCGGTATTTCTTCAATATTTTTTGTTCCGCTGGAGTAAATATATCAAAGCACCTGAAAGATAAGGATAAATAAAGATCAAACATTGCGAATTTTCAAAATCCTCCAATATGCATGTGAGAATTTATTTATTTTCTCCACAAACTTCTTTTGTGCACAATTGTCAAGCAAGGGACTGAAAACACTTGGCACTAAATCTGGGGACTTTTTGCTGATTTATGCTCAGTTGGGCATATCAGCGATACATTTATAACACTTTATTTTGTCCGCCAGGACAATGAGTCAGATATTTTGAATGTCTCAACTTACAATTGAGAACAATACCGTGCACCAGAAAATAATGCCAAAAAGCTAGGTGCTTAGTAACATCATGATAAAGCCTAAAGCACTCAAGATATGAAGGGAAAATGGAGAATGTGAGACATTCATATTCAAAGCAAATATCCAGTAGTTAACAACCATCTCAAAAACGCAACTTTGTTATTTTCCTTTTTTTTTATAATTTTTACCTCATCAATTTTCTTAGTCTTATTTTATTTTTTGGTCTAACTGGTTAAATAATAGCCCGTGATGGAAGTATGAAGTGTATTTTTTTATTTCAACTGAACCAAATTTCTGGATTGCAGTGCAAAATGGGGGACTTACCCAGCAAATGCCAGCATATCCATCTCAAAACGAAGATGTATGGCCATAAAGTGACCTTGTGCTCGAAGCCTTTTCACGATTGCATCACTCAACTCCATGATGTGAGGCTTAAATCTCAAGGCATGATAGTTCACTCTACACCTTAGCCGCTGGTACTCAGGGTTGTCTATCTCTTCAGCCAGGCGATGAGAGAAAGGAGTAAGATAAATAGCACCATGTTCTTTCATCTTCTTTAAGGCATCTGTTGTGTACCAACTTACAGGAGCATCTCTTGGGGGCCGCATCTTAGCACAATAAATGTTGCGTCAACATAATAATGAAATTTTCTGCCAGAAACTTAATCCAATTACCATGAGCCGTACCTGAAAAGGTTTTATCTTCTTGGGCTTCCCATTTTTATGGATCTCTGGAATGCTTTCCACAATGTTGACATCATATCTCAGTGACTTAATGAAATGCTCCACATCATACACACCATGAAAGCCACTATAGAGGAACAGGTAATAGAATAGATATCAACACCCAGTCGCCAAAAATAAAATTGAGTTTGAACATGAATCGCTATTGTAGGTTTGGAATACTTTTGACACAAAGTTGGTTTGTTTGAACATTGATTTAATCTGGGGAGATAGTTATTAGTACAAAACAATTTATCCATTCAGCAATACTTGCATTTCAATTGACCCAGAGAGTCAATTTATACCATCTAAAATCAATCTACTTAGCCAGGATAGCCTACCAATCGGCTTACCGAATTATCTTTGTGTAATAAAATGGCTGTTGATTTTGAGGGTGATTTTATAGGTATTGAACGGACCTAGCCATGTGTATTTTCAAGGGGAGCTACAGCAATCTCAAGAGAAACAGTACAATACTGCAGGAACCTCGAGAGAAATAAGCAAAATTCCAATTTGAAGCTAGAAAACATGCAATCAAGATAAGTCCAGAAAGTTAATTTGTTTATCTATGGATATATGTACCTATCATCATGCCAGAACGAGTTTGCATCGAGTTCAGGCAGCACAAGTGTAGCATTCATGATTCTAGCAGCCAGAACAGCATTACAGATCTAGGGTACAACAAAAAATATTCTAGTGTGATGAATGAATTAGTTTTACTAAAACAAGATAAAACAAATATTGAGAAGTTTAATTTTTAAATGCATTAGGTTGGAAAGAGAGAGAACTTGATATGAGCAAAGGGTGAAAGAAAACGA